TTTCTTTAACCTTTTCATGAAAAGTCACGATCAGCTTGAGAACGATCTCCATGAATACTATCTACTTTGTATCCATGATCGTATAAATAATTTTCTAGCATATCAGCACCTCTCTTTGTTTCAACAAAAATAACTGTTTTCTCACCTTTTCCAGCAAATTCTCGTAAAACATCTAAAATAGCTTCTTGTTTTATTTGTTCTTCAACCCATAAAATAATTTGTTGAATTGATTCAACAGTACTTCCTGCTCTTCCAACAGTAATAAAGACATAATTATCTAAGAAATCTGCAGCAAGTCTTTGAATTTGTTTAGGAAAAGTAGCAGAAAACATTAATGTTTGACGTTTTCCAACAGGTGGCATTTCATTATCTTCACAAATTTCTCTAATTTGTGGTTCAAATCCCATATCAAGCATTCTATCAGCCTCATCAAAAATAAGATATCTAACAGAAGATAATGAAACAATTTTCTTTTCAGTAAAATATAATAATCTTCCTGTAGTAGCAACAAGAATATCACATCCTTTTCCCATTTCTTGAATTTGAATATAAGCATCAGATCCTCCATAAACACATACTGATCTAATTGGGGTATTTTCAGTGAATTTAACTGCTTCTTCATAAATTTGTTGTCCTAATTCTCTTGTTGGTGCAAGAATTAAAGCAACAGGAAATACAGTAACTCTATGTGATAAATTTGCTTGTCTTGGCATTGGTGGATTTTTAAGAATATCTGAAATAATAGGAAAAAGGAATGCAGCAGTTTTACCTGATCCAGTTTGTGCACATGACATTAAATCACGTTTAGCTAATACTATTGGAATAGTTGCTTTTTGAACTGGCATTGGATGATAAAAACCAGCCTTAAAAATATTATGATCCAATTCTTCACCTAAATCAATATCATAAAATGTTTCAATAGTATCTTTTGGAAGATCTTTTCCAGTAACTTCAATTTCAAGGTTTTCATATGAGAGAGTTACATCAATAAATTTTTCTCTTTCTTCTTTTGTTTCTTCTAACCATTGATTTCTTTTTTCTAATCTTTTAGGATCTTCTCTAGAATCTCTATAACCATACCATCTATCTTTATTTATAATTCTATTATTTCTACGTGTGAATGTAGGTGTATCACTTCTATAGATTGTTGATGAACTACGAGATGGTTGAGGAGTTCTTGATGTTATTGGAATATGATGATCTGATTTATTTACTCCTTTTTTAATAAAGGATGGACTAATTGGAGTAGGTTCTCCTTTCATTATTGTTGTTTTCTCTTTGTTTCTTAAATGTGGTGGTACGTAAGCCATTCTTTCTTCTAAAAAGCTGTTTTAGGGTTGTATCTGTTCCACAATTTTTGAAATCAAGGATGATTTGATGAAAATTTTAGATTTTAAAAAATATGTTTTATGAAAAAAGAGAGAAAGAGAAAGAATAGATTTTACAAAGGATAAAATTTAAACTATAAAGTATAGATTAACAAGTAAGAGAAAGAAGAATGAAAAGACAAGACAACCCTAGGAGGAAAATAAAAGAGAAGATAAAACTAATATTCAATAAATCATATGAGCACCATTCATAAACCAAAGAAGTCTGCTGTTTCAATTGAAAAGAAAATTGCTACCCAACAAAAGAAAGAACAATTAAAACAAGAAAATGAAATTAAAAAAGAAGAAAATAAAGTAGAAGAAGAACTTGAATCTGCTAGTGATCCAAGAGTTATTAAACATTATGAAGAAGCAGCAGAAATTACTAATGCAGCAATGAAACTTGCTGAAACACTTTGTGTTGATGGAGCAATTGTTTATGAAGTATGTAAAAAAGTTAATGAATTTATTGAAGAAGAAGCAGCTAAAGTTTTTAAGAATGAATATTCATATGAGAAAGGAATTGCATTTCCATGTTGTATTTCATTAAATAATTGTTGTGGATATTTCTGTCCATTAGCTGAAGATAAAACTAGTATGAAAAAAGGAGATTTAGCTAAAATTGAATTAGCAACACATATTTCAGGATTTGTTGCAGAAGCATGTAAAAGTATTGTAATTGGAGAAGAAGCAACAGGAGAAAAAGCAACTATTATTGAAGCAGGATATACTGCACTTCAAGAAGTTATTTCAAAACTTCAAGTAGGAGTTAATACATCAGATATTACAACAATTGTTGATGGAATTTGTAAGAAATATAATGTTAAAGCATTTGAAAATATTGTTTCAAGAAATATGGAAAGATATATGATTGATGGAAATAAATTTATTCTTAATGTTCCATCTAAATCAGCTGTTGAAGATATGAAAATTGAATTAAATGATGTTTGGAATTTAGATATTATTTTAACTACTGGAAATGCTAAGCCAGTAGAAAAAGAAACTAGAACTACAGTTTATAAAAGAAATATTGATGAAACATATATTCTTAAAATGAGAACATCTGTTCAAATTTTTAGAGAAGTTAATAATAAATATCCAACATTCCCATTCTCTCTTGGAATGCTTGAAAATGAATCTAAAGCTAAAATGGGAATTATTGAAATGGCAAAACACGATTTAGTTGATGCTTATACTGTTGTTTATGAAAAGACTGGATTAGTATCTCAATTTAAAGCAACAATTATTGTTACTGAAAATGGTCCAAAAGTATTAACTCCAATTGAAGCTCCAGCTTTCATTAAGAAGAACTGAGTGTGATTTGTTATCAAAAATGTTATTTTTTCTTTTTTTTTTTAATTTAAAATAAAATAAAATGATTTTAATTATGTACTAAATTCAAATAAGCTGATAATCCATGTAGAGATGATGTAAAAGTAGTATTATGTTGAAATTGAGGTGGTGGAAGAGGTTGTAATTCACCAGAAATAATTAAATTAACTAATTCAGAATCTGAAGAAAATAAGTTATGAGATAATAAAGAATTAACATAAAATGGAGCAATAATTTCATCTAAACTTTGTTTTAAATTTGATTTAAATATTGAATTTTCAAATTCAGTTAATAACTGTCTTTCCATTGAAGGATTTTCCCATCTTTCATCATAATATTTAGTGAAGTTTTGTAAGTATTGAGCTATTTGTCTAGGGGATTTAATTGTTTGTTTTTTATAAGTTTGAGAATAAATGAGGGCAATAGTAGGAATTGCAACCATTAATAATAAAGTTGAAGAAATATTAAAGAAAGTAAATTTTGTTAAAGAAGCTAAAGGAATAATAATTAAACAAAGACCAGAGATTAAAATTTTTAAAACTCTCATTATATGAAATAAAATTCCTTTTTGATTAATCCCAGTTAATTGTTGAGCTAAAGGAATTGCTTCATATAATCTAGTAGAAGTTTCATGAGGTAATTCATTATATCTACGATATAATAACCAAGCGTATTTAGTAAAATGATATTTGTTTAATAAAATTAAATTTTTACCTAAAAGAGTAAAATTTAAAAGAATAATTTAAAATAGAAGAATTAAATATAAACAAACTAGTAAATGAACTAAAATACTTTAATAAAGTAAGATAACCATTATAACAAGCAAAAATAATATTTAATGGAAATATATGAAGAAAACGTAATTCATTTGTTTTAGCTTGAATACTAAAATAAGTTAGATAAAAGAAGAAAAAAAAAGAAATACTATCAAATAATAAAATTTTTAACATAAAACAAACTAATTTTTCCATATTTTTTGTAAATTATTATCATATTGAAGATTTCTACAAAAATTTTCATCAAAGAAAGAAGGGAATAAAATTGATTGAGTAATTTTAATAAGATATTTTGATGGATAATATTTAAAGAAAGAATATCTATTAAATAATAATGTTAATAAATTATAATTCCATGCAATTGATGAACGAATAATTAAATTAGATTGTGGATCAATTTTATTATTATACATTCGAACAAATGTTTTTCTATTTGATGATGTTGATGGTGCTATTATTTCTGATATTCCATTCCAATTTCTATTAAACTCTTGAAAATGATTTATATTATAAAATTTTTTTGCTTCAATAATATTAGAAGAAAATAATTTTTTAAAAGTAAAATATATTTTAATAATAATAAAAGGAGAAAAGAATAAAATAATACACCAAATACACCATATTCTAAATTGATCATTTAAAATAAAATATTCAAATAATTCATTTTCTTTTGTTTTTGTATTAAACATTTTATTAAAATCTAATATTGTAATAATAATACATATTGTCATTAATATAATTACTTCACTATTTATAAATTATTTTATTATAAAATATATATATTTTCTTCTTTATTCTTTTTTAATATCTTTGAAATAACAAACAATAAATGCATTATTTTATCAAATATTAATCCTATATATCCTCCTTTTTTCCATATTAAATATAATTCTTTTAAAGATTCTTCTGATAACATTAATGTTTTTGAACATTTCTTGTTATATAAAGTCATTAAAGACAAATACAATTATTTAGTTTTAATTAGAATTTCCTTTTTTTTTTTTTTTTAAATAAATTAATATTAAAATGAATTATTTATTTGATTAAAACAACTTCATATAATTTATTCCAAAGTTTTCCTGTCATTAATATTGTTTTTTTATTTGAATCATAGACAATTCCATTAAATACATCTTCTCCTGGACTTTTATTTATATTACACCAAAATTCACTAATAACATTTCCTGTAATTAAATCAATAACACAAATAACATCTTCATACCAAATATTAGCAAACAAATATCCATTAATATATTCAATATCATTAATTCTATATAATGGTTTATTCCCTCTTTTTACTTTAATCAAATGTTGAATTATAAATGTTTCTGGATTAACAATATATATTTGATCACTTCCATCACTAATACCAAGTGATTGATTTATTCGAGTCATTCCCCATCCTTCTTTAATTTGAAATGGTAATCTATAAGATCTTATTTCTTTTAAACTTGAAATATTATATACTTTTATCCATCTATTTTTCCATGTTAATTGAAATAATTCATTATTTATAATAGCTATTCCTTCTCCAAAGAAATTATTAGGTAATTTAGTTTTAAGTATTGTTTTACCTGTTATTTTATTTACAATTCTTATTGAAGATTTTCCATATAATCCTGTTGATTCAAATAATGTATTATTTAATAGAGCTAATCCTTGTGTAAATGAATGTGGGTTATGTGGATATGAATGAATAATATTTAATCCTTTAAATAATTTAGTTTCATAATTTATAGCGATACACTCTTTTATTTCAACAGAGAATGTTAATTTAATAAAGAAAATAATATATAATAACGGTGTAATCATTAATATATTATATTTTTTAGTTAATTTTTTTTATTATCTTTTTTAAATTCAAAATACATATCAGAAATGCCAAAACAACACAAATCAATTTCTTCTTCATCTTCTCTGTCATTAAAAGAAAAAGCTGCAAAATTTAAACCTATCAAAGATGAAATTAAAAATAAAAGTATTCATCAAACTCCAAGTAAAGAAAATTTAATTGATCTTCCATTAACTAAAAGATTATTTGTTGGTGGAATTGATAAATCAATAACTGAACAACAAATTAAAGAACGTTTTATTAATTACGGAAAAGTTCTTTCAATTCAAATTATTAATAAACCTTGGAAAAATTCATTATTTGCATATGTTGAATTAAAAGCAAAAAATGAATTATTATTACATCAATGTCTTTCTACTTTGAATATGTTAACTTGGAAAGGATTAAAATTTAGAGTAGAATATGCTAATCCTAATATATTAGATAAATATAAACAAGAAAGAACTCAATTACATCTTGATAGAAAAATTAAAATTAAAGAAAGACAAGAAGAAAAAATAAGAAAAAGAAAGAAAATTAAAGCTTGTAAGATAATTATTGATAAAGGATTTTACAAACATTAAATACTTCTGATTTTTAATTGATTATTTTTTTTTGTTTTCTTTATTAAAATTCTATAAAACTTAATAAAAAAAAATATCTTTATTTCTTTAAACTAGAAGAAAGAATGTATTATTGTTAATTATCTAAATAATTTAATTAAATTTAGTCATTACTTTAATTTGTAATGATAAAAAGATTCATTAAATATATAAATATTCATCATTAATATAAATAAACTTCTATATATCTTACTTGACACACTTCAATAACAAAAAAAAAAAATAATAACTTTATCATTTTTATTATTATTTAAATACAAATAGTATTAAGAAAATAGATAGATCATTTAAAAGTAATGATTTGAAATAAAAAATATATTTTCCACTAAGAATAATCATTATCTAACATAAATTAAATTAATTCATTATCTAAAGAAGAAATAAAATAATTAAATTTTAAAGTTTTTTGAAAGTTTTATTCATTTTAAAAAAAAATTTGAAAAACACAAAGTAATTAATTACTGTTATTAAATTAAAAGATATTTATATTCTTTCTTATAACTGTTTAATGAATTTATTTATTGTTTATTTATTTCTTTATTCTTTAAAAACTTCTACCTCTCATTATTTCATTGTTAAAGATATAAATAATAAGGTTCAATTGTTTTAAAAAACGTTGAAGAAGAATTATCATCTTCAATATGAAAAGAAGAATAAAAAGGTTTTATATCAGTAAAAAATAAAGAAAAGGATTTGGATTCTTCTTTTATACTTGAAACAGAATTATTAAACATATTAGTTTTAAAAGATGATTCATTTTCTATTATAATTTCAGACAATAAAGAGAATGTAACATAAATAAAGGTATTTGTCTTAACTATTATTTCTTGTTGTATTTGATTACCATCTATAAAGAATTTTATACTTGTTTTATTAATTTTGTTTTCAGGGAATTGAGATTGAATTTGATTAATGATTGTTGTTTTAATAACACTAAAACAATTATCCTTAATAAACAATGGCAAAAAATCAATCATTGAGTTTGTTTTATAAAATATGATGATTGGGGTCATAATTTTGTGTTTGTTCTTTTTTAGTTTGTTTAAATATCTTGGTCCATTTTCATCACAAAATCAAGGACAAACTTCATCAATTAAAACATCAATAAATATAAATTGATATATAAAACATAATTTTAATAAACCCTAAAAAAAAATAAAAGAAAAAAGAAAAGATAACAAAAAAACAGATAATGAGAATTGAGAAGTGTTACTTCTGTGGAGCAAATATTTATCCAGGACATGGGATGATGTTTGTAAGAAATGATGCAAAAGTGTTTTGGTTTTGTAGATCGAAATGTCATAAAAGTTTTAAGATGAAGAGAAACCCACGTAAATTCAAATGGACAAAAGCATACCGAATGACAACAGGAAGAGAAATGACAGTAGATAAAACACTTGATTTTGAGATGAAAAGAAATAGACCTGTACGTTATAATAGAGAGCTTTATGCAAAAACAATTATTGCTATGAAACGTATTGAAGAAATTCGTCAACGTAGAAAGTTAAGTCATTATATTGATCGTATTAGAGAAGGAAAACAAAATGAAATGAAACAACGATTAGCTCTTATTGAACGACATAAGGATGTTTTACCATTATTAAAATTAAGAGCACGAAAAGCCACTATTCCTGCTTATACTCAAAATCTTAAACGTAAAGCATTATTAAATAAAACAAAAACAAGTAGTATATCTGAAAAAGATACTAATAAACACATGGATGAAGCTTAAGTAATAATGATACATTGATAAGAAGTGGTGTAACTGATTGATTTTCTTTTATTTATTTTATCATATTTTTTTTTTTTTAATAAAAAGAAAGAAAATAACTAAGAAAGAATTATATAATTCTAACATGGAAAATAAACCACAAAAAGATATTTTTGAAGATATGAGACCAAAATTAAAACCTATTGAAAATAGTGATAGAAGAAAAAGATTATATGTTATTCAATTAAATAAAATGCTTGTTGAACATTTTAGAAAAGGAAATAATCTTAATGATTCAATTGGATTTAATCAATATGGAGAATTAGTAGAATTAAATATAGAAGATGAACAAACAAAGAAAAAGTATGATTTATTTAAAACACAATGTAAAGAACCAATTTTTATTCTTAAACAAACAAATCAATCATTTAAAAATTATGGAAAATCAGATATGTATTTAAAACCAATAGTTAGAAGAAATGATATTATAATAAAACAACAAAAACCAAAATTAATTATTAATGATGAAAGTTCAGAAGATGAAATTCCACATAAATCAATTAATATTTATAGAAAAAGAGAAGATACAGTTGTTGATAAAAGAGTTAGAATGAATGAAACTGAATTAACAGATAAAATATTATCAATGTTTAAGATTAAACCAACATATACATTTACTATGTTAAATTTAGAATTAAAACAACCAGAACAATATTTAAAAGAACAACTTAAAAAGATTTGTGATTTAGTTCAATCACCAACATCAAGTATGAAAGAATATCAACTTAAAAAAGATTATCAATAATATTAAATTCATAATTAATTTTTTATTTTTATTATATTTTAAAATGAATTATTATTTATTTTAAATGAATAAAAAAATCAATCAAATTAATAGATACTGATATTCTCTTTTTATCTCCAATCATGTGTTCCAGCTGTTCTTTTTCCAGCCAATAACCATTTTGGACGTTCAATATCATGTTTTCTATCTGATTCTCCAGTCCTACTTTGTCGATGTAATGCATCAATTGCTTTTCTACGTAATCTTTCTGCTTTATCTCTCATTTCTTGTCTTGGCATTGAATGTTCTTCTCCTTTTCTAATTAAAGAATTAGATCTACTACGTTTTCTACTATTTGATCTACCTCTTTTATCATTAGTTTCTTCTTCTTCCATAAATGGAATATCTCTTCCTCTTTTAACACTTTTAGTTCTACTTCTTGATTTACTTTTAGCTAATTTTGATGTTTGATGTGCTGTTTCTGTATCAATACCTAAATCTTCTAAATGTTCTTGTAATTCATTTCTACTTCTTCCTCTAGTCATATTTTCAATTCTATTATTTTCATTTCCTTTCTTTGCTTTACTAACTGCTTTTAATACTCCTTGTGCTTCAACAATTTCTTCATATAATTTTTGATCTTCTTCACTTAATTTCATTGAATCATCAAATTCCATTGTAGCTGTAAGTAATTGTTCTTGTTCTTCTTTTTCTAATTCTTCTAATTTCTTTTCAATATCTGGATCAACATAATCTGCAATATTCATACCATCTACAATTTCTGGAATAACATCATATCTCCATTCATCATTATCTAAAATATATTTTTCTCTTTCTTTCATATATTCTGACCATGGAATTTCTCCTCTTTCATATGCTTCAAAGTCATGTTGATATTTAATTAATTCTTTTTGACATTGTGTCATTTCTGGTTCAATTTCATCAGTTTCCATTTCTTTTATTACTGGTGCTGCAACAGCAGGTCTTGCAATATCATCTCTTTTCTTTGGCATTGTAACTCTTAATTTATTTAACAATAATTCTCCTTTCTTTCCACTAAATCTATCTTGAGTTACTGTTTCTTTTAATAATCCACATGCTTTTGTTTTTAATTCTCCATAAAGTTCTGGTTTATAACATGAACATTCACAACATAATGTTGACATTCCTTTAATTTCTTCAATAATTTTTCTTTCTTCTTCTTCTAATTGATTCATTGGACAAATATCAATTTTATTTAATACAAGAACAACAGGTTTTTGACTAAATAATGGTCTCATTGTTTTAAATAATTGTGCTTGTTGTTGAATAGTATATCCACAACTTCCACTAACATCCATAAGATATAATACACATGATGGTAAATGTGCAAGTGCTGTTATAGATTGCATTTCAATAACATTTCTTTCTTCTAGTGGATGATCAAGAATACCTGGTGTATCAATTACTTGCCATTGTGTATAATTAAAATCAGTATGTCCAATAAATAATGATTTAGTAGTAAATGGATATGGTTGAGTATCAACATTTGCATTTGTAATAACATTCATTAATGATGATTTTCCAACATTTGGAAATCCTGCTAGAATTAATGATTTAGAAACTGGATCAATACTTGGAAGTCTTCCTAAATGTTGTCTTACTTGTTCTAAATATGCAAGTGATGCACTTTGTTGTTTAATAACAGATGTCATACGACCAAGAGCAGCACGTTTTAATTGTTTACATCGATATAATGAATCAGCATATTTTAAATATTTACAATATTCTGTTCCAATTGAATCAACTAATTTCTTTGCAATAGAAAGTTGTGCTAATGCAAGTTTATAATGATCTCTATCATATAGAACATTCAATAAATCTCCATAAAATGGATGAAGATCATCGAGTAATGGAAATTCTTCTAATATTAATGCCAATTTATCATGATATGATTGTGAACAATATTTAACCTTTCTCATATAAAATGCACGAATTCGATGAATAGCATATTGTTTATGAACAACAGTTGGAGTATGTTTATTAGTTCCACTAAGTACTATATCTTGTAATTCATTTGATGTAGGAACAGGCGTAATTTTTTTAAATGTATACAATGGCATGCTACTGAATTTACTCTTTTATCTTTTTTTTTTGTTTTAAGGGTAAATCTTTTTTCTTTTTCTTTTTTTTAAACCCTGTTTCTCTATTTTTATTTCCTTTCATCTTTCCTTTTTTTATTATTTTTTATAGTTTCTTCTTTTGACGTTTTCTTTCTAACTTGTCTAATCTAATCTAATCATTCATTTATATCTTTATGGCATTAGAGTCACATCACAAGAATTATTATTGTTTTCTAATATCTTGACTCTTCTCTATCTTGTCAATTCTTTAATCTTATTAATTCATTCTTTTTTAAAACAAACATGAAGTCGTGCAACACATTTAGTCAAGTCATGATAAACATATTGTTTAATTGTTGATAAATCATTCACATTTCTCCCTGCATACAATGGAGATGATATCCCACACTGTTTAAGTATTATTGTTGCATTTGGAGTTACTTCTTTATTAGTCTTATTTAATTCTCCTAACATAACTTGAATTGATTGGAGCTGTTTGTTTATTCCATGTATTTGGTTTTGAAGAAAATTAATTTTTTCATTTTCTATTGTTTGGTGTAGCACAATTATTTTTTTGAATATACTGCATTATTTTTATGTCATTTTTAAATTTTTACGTTATTTCTAATTGAAATATCATTTTTTATGACTACAAAATTCTATTTTTTCTTGAAGATATTCAGAATAGCATATTCCTTTCTGAAAAAGTCATCTTGAAAAAAAATAAGTCTTTTAGAAGAAATGATGAGGAGGGCATTTACAGATAAAAAGCCAGTAACAACCTCCAATCTTATCCCACAAACAAAGCCAACAAATTATATTTTAGTTATTATAATACATTCAGGAATATTTAGTCCGTTAGAAACTGGATTATATTGTGTTTGTAAGATTGACGAAAAGAAGTACAGGACATTAACAAAAGTTGGGAATAAACCTATTTTTAATGAACAGTGGACAGTTTCAGTTCCAGAAAAAACGAATATTTTACAGATTGAAGTATGTAAACATAATAAATTAAATCAAAAGCATATTCTTGGAATTGTAAGAGTATCATTAAAACGATTAGGAATAAACCTAGAAACAACAGAGAAATACACTGTTTTTTCTTATTCTTCTGTTGAAGTTGGGAAATTAAATATTACATTTAAGAGGTTGTCAAGAGAAAATGAGCAGAATTTGATAATTGGCGAAGAGTCAAAGAAATCAAGTGAAAAGTCAAGTGAAAAGTTTTCTCTTTTAACGTCATCAATCGAAGAACTTAATTTATCATATAAACCTCAAAATGACTTATCTTTAGATCATGTCCATAGAAAAAAGTTTATGCCACAACTTCCATCAGCAAAGGATAGAGAAACAATTGAAGCGTGTGGATTATTTTCAGCAGTATTTACTGTTACAGTAGGAGACATTACAAAAGATCTTCTTCATTTTATGAAAACAAGCAATGCAACATTTAGCAGTATAGAACAAGTAGGACTAACAGGAGTTATTACAAATTGTTATCCACCAAATAATGGAGGTAAAATAGTTCCATTAAATATTTGGAATTTTTGTTTTGGAGATGGGTTAAGAGTAAGTAGAACGAATAAAAATATAAGTGTTGTTCCATTTGTTATGACAGATGCTATGGCTAATACTAAATATGCGTGTTTCTTAATTGCTTATTTTAAAATTGAAAAAGAAATGATTAAAAAAATACAAGAAATTATTCCAAAAACACCTGATGAATTATATGCACCATATGCTGTTGGAGTAACAAGTGATTTTCCATTACATACATTTATGAGAAAATGGTTAAAGTCATTGTATGAAATAAATGTAGAAAATGATATGAAATTTACAGATTATTGTCATCAAGTCATTTTTATGACTGGGAAACCATCATTTGGAAATTTATATTCATACGATTTTGGACAATTAGGATTTAAAGTTGAAATACATTTACCTTGTTTAAATGGATTACCACCAATACCTACAAGTATCCTTCCATTATTTGAAATGATTGGAATTGATGGAGTACTTGCTGTATGGCTAGCACTATTAGAAGAAGAAAAAGTAATAATTACAAGCACATCAAAAACTGGATTAGTTTATTCAATAGAAAATTTAAAATCATTGTTATTTCCATTTGAATGGTGTAATATTTGTATTGACTCATTACCTTATTCATTAATTGATTATGTAAGTTCTCCAATGACATATTTAATGGGAGTACCATCAGAATATAAAGAAGATGTAGAAAAAATTATTAAAAATGAAGAAGTAGTATATGTTGATTTAGATAGTGGAGTAGTAAAATCAAAAGGAATAATAAGAGAAGTACCAAAATTAATAAATACAGTATATCATGAACTTAAAGATGTTTTTAATAAAAGAGAATATTCAAGTGGAAATATTAATTCAGACATATTTGATGAAAAGTATTATTTACATAAAAGTGAAGAATTTAATTGTTCAGTTAGAATTATATTATTTAAATTTATTAATATTATGTTAAATGAATATAGAGATTATATTGGATATACTTGGATTGCAGATAAAGAGTCTGTAGTTTTTTCATCAGAAGAATTTATTTATAATCAACCATCAGATAGAAGAGACTTCTTGAAAGCATTGTTTGAGTCTCAACATTTTTCATTCTTCCTTCAAAATTTCCCAAAAAGACATGACCATATATTTGAAGATTGGCAAATAAATAATATTTATTTAATTAATACTAATGAACTTATTCAAATGTATTCAAAAGAATATCATCCTATTACTTCAATTATTCAAACATCAACAGAAAAAAGTCTTGAAGTATCTCCAATTAATACATTGGTATTGGATTGTGGGAAACTTAAATCATTAAGAGTAAGAAACACTGTAGTTAATTCACAATTAGAACCAAAAATGTATCATAATCATTTAGAAGGATTAAAAAAACAAAGAGTAAAAGAAGTATTTAATAATGATATAATACAATTTAGTGATATTCAAATTGGAATATTGGTGATGATGAATGAAGGAACAACAAAAAGTCTTGATACAGATTTATTATTTAATTTTTTATCACAAGTTGAAGGAAGAAAAATATTTACACAACGATTAATGAGTAAATATACATCATTTTGTATTAATAAAATGGAAGGTAGAGTAAATAATATA